CATCACCACCAGGTCATTCGCAGAGACCATATCGGTGACCAAGATCCCCCTCCTGTCCTGACGGGTCTCTCCCCACTCGGGGGACTTACTATTAAAATCCCCCGCAATGAGGACATCCCCGCCGAAAGCTCTTATGCTTTCTTCAAGAGAGCGAATCTTGGCATCGAACTTTTAAGTAGCAGCTGTAGATACGAACACCCGCCACCTCTACCCAAACAAAGCCCTTATCTGTCTCCAGGAAATCACCAATAGCGATGTCCGGGTTACACACTTGTATTCCGGACCTTCCCGATGCGTCCTGGAACCAGACAGAGAATTCTGGCTTTCTACACTGCTCACTGAAGATCAGTATATCAGCCTTCCTCTGTCTAGCAGTCTGCATCAGAAGGTCCAGTGCGGCTCTTCCCCTTCCGAGGTTAACCTGGAGAACCCCGTATTTTGTCTTTTAGACCTGAGAGGATTCCCCAATAAACTGGGCAAGCCCTGCTTCCCGGAAGGTGATTTGTCTCCTTTGACCCCTTATCGGAGCAAGTCATGCAACGAGCAGAACCCTTACATGACCTGCTTTTGTGGTCCAGACCACTACACTTCCAACAAGCATCTCTTTTGTCTGGGCCACTGCAGCCTCGTGCCAAGTGGCCGTAGCACAGGCATCTGAAACACCTGTCTACCTCCACTCTGGTTCGGACTCTGCAGTTGACTTCCATACCGGGTGACTAGTTGGCAAGGCGTTTCCAACTCAGGCTTACCCAGACAACCCCGTATTGCCTTCTGTACGTCTGCCACGACTATAGTCTCATCGAGGTCTACGATTTCTAGTGACCTCGTCAAGACTACTGTCTTGACCTCTGCTTTTCCATCCAGGGCAGTGGTCAGCGCACTGCTGAATCCAGTGAGATCTGCCCCTTCTTAAGAACCAGGAGGATTTCTTTCTTCCTGGATCTTCGGACCGACAGGATCTCGACTTTGTTTTCATCAGGGCTGACCTTTGAAAACATATCGTCCAATATTCCATCATAATCTTTTCCTTCCCCTACGCTTATTCTAATTGCGTCTGTCTCTCTTTTCTTTCTCTTTCGAGAGGGTTTTTTGTTCCCCCCTTAGGGTCATCCCCAGTCCTTTCCTTTATTTTTTTCTTTTTCCGATGGACTTTTTTCCAACGCCCGCCATCAGCTTGAGTGGCTGTCCGAGCCTTCCCTTTCTTCGGGCGTAGTTGAGGCCCCCCTCTTCTTTCTATCAGAGGTGGGGGTTCCCCTGGGAGTTCCTCCTACGCGTCTGGCTTGTCGTCTCGCTATGAGAGGAGGAGGATAATTTTCTAATTTTTTAGTAAATTCTCTCCCCTCTTCCATTAGGTCCCTGGCGATGCCAACGAGGCTCTCACCATAATGGAAAGCCTCCACTGCACTATCCTTGACCGGCTTCGGATTGTTCTTTAAAATCCCCTCTTTTACGATTCGAAGAGACTTAAACAATTCCTCCGACACTTCGGACTGCCTCTCCATGAGTCGAAGCATGGTCTTCCATCCCTCAACCCATAGGGATACTGGAACCGTTTTACTACTGAGGGCAGAAGCTTCTGCAACCTCCGTCTCCATTTTCTCTCCGCTGTTTCGATCCAAAAGATCTGTGTTTTGTTGGCCACCCCCAAAATCCGTGGGCCTTTCGTCGACCACCGGGGCTTTCACCCGATCGGAATCGACGGCAGGATTACCCTTTATCAAGGTACCTGCTTGGGGTATAATGTTATTTACATCACACATTTCCATTTTTAACTTGAAAAAAAGATTGATTTATATAGGTGTAATTAGTGTATCGTGTGTATTGTGTTGTGATTAATGTGTAGGTGTTGTAATTGTGTGTAACCCATATATGTGTTAGAATGGTGTACGTTTGATGTGTACTGTGTCTGACGGACCAGAACGACCATGCACATCCCCCGTCTCTCATGCGTATCTCACATTCACGGGGGTAGAGCGTTTATAGCACACCCCACATACAGAAAAAAGGAAGAAACCTCCGCAAAGTGTTCCTCTTTCATTACACATACACTTTCATACATCAGTTTCAATTCCATTGAGACAAACCGGATACCGCTAAGGCTGGCCTATTGGACAGACTTCCCGGATCCACAGTGTCATCAATAGAAAAAAGGCTGCCCAATCGTGGAAGCGGCCGTCTATAGGCTACTCTGGTTCCACATTTAGGGCAGGGGCCGTTTATAGGCTACTCTCCTGTCCACATGTACTCCTTCATACACATTCGTGGAAGCGGCCGTTCATAGGCTACTCTGCTTCCCATTCATGGAAGGGGCCGTTTATAGGCTACTCTCCTTCCCATTCATGCTCCGAACATACCGAACACTTTGGTTCGGATTCTCCTTCGCCCAAACAAAGGGATAAACGCGTTTATAGCGCACCCTACGTTCATACTGTACCATTCACACAGACGAGGAATATACACGGACGCACCAGTCCGACAAACAACCCTCCTCCTCCTCCAAACTACTTCACCCATGTACACGCATACACTGTAAAAATTTAGGGAGTTAACGGACTCGGGAGTTGGGAGTGAAATTTTTCGAGTTAAAAATCAACTCCAAAAGAGAGTTAATTTCTAACTCCCTTCACTCAACACCCGCGCGAGTTATTTTTTCCTTGGGGAGTTAGCATTTGGGTGTGAAATTTCAACTCTCTTTATTTAACTCCCCTGGCATTAACTCCAATGGGTGCGACTTTTATAGACCCCCCGGGGGAGTTAAAATTTAACTCCCTTTTTTTACAGTGTATACGTAAAAAAATAATACATAAATGAGTATAAATGCGTATAGAAGATGGAGTCCCGGGCTTGGGACACGGTTCTAAGCGGAGTTATTATTATTATTATTATTATTATTATTATTATTATTATTATCATTTTTATTTTCATTATCATTTTTATTTTCATTATTGGTGAATTCCACGTCAACTCAACACATATATTTTTATGACCTAATGGGATTCGCTTAATATTCTGTTTATACACTCCTTAGGTGATGAAAAAAACCCCTACAAATGTTTTTTGAAAAAAAATAAAAAATAGCGGAAATACAAGACTTTGAATTTTTTGGTACTATTTGTTTAAAAAATCTGTAACTTCTGTTCTAATAATCCGATTACACAGCCACACAAAAAAAAGTTCTGATCTGGGGGTCTCACTATGTAGACTTCATGTTTTTTGGGTCGCTGAATCCGAATCCGAGGTCCATTTAACCTCATCAGATCAGGATTTTGACATAACCTCAAAAAACCAATATGGCGGACACATTTTTGAAAAGTTCATTGGATTCGCTTAAAATTCGTTACTCGGGGGTTTTTGGGGTCTCTGATTACGAATTTGAAGTCTGATTTCAAAAATTCAAAATAGCGGATCCAATATGACGGACACGTTTTTGAAAAATTCATCGGATTCGCTTGAAATTCGTTACTCTGGGGTTTTTGGGGTCGCTGATTACGAATCTGGTGTAGGTTTTTCAAAATTCAAAATGGCGGATCCAATATGGCTGACACAGACATATTGAATCCGCCATTTTGAATTTTTGAAATCTGACTTCAAATTCGTAATCAGTGACCCCAAAACCCCCAGAGTAACGAATTTCATAAAAAATGTGCACTACCCAAAGGGAAATGCCAGTGTAGTGCCGATGTTCACCACTGGCTTAATGCTCAGACGATTGTTCGGCGTAGTCTAGCCGAGCCTCGACAATTAGTGCTGGCGCAGTACAGAATTTTTGTTTCGCCAAAGCTTGGACAAGCCACGGCGGCAAGTGCTGGCTGAGTATAGAAAAATTATTGTTCACGACGCTCTTTGCCAACATTGCTTTTTTTACATAAACTTCAAAGAAATGATAAAAAATAATAAATAATAATTTGGTTCCTATTAAAATACTATTATACTTCTTACTATGAATAAAAAATTATTAAAAAATTACCACGTAATTTAAGAATCACGTAAAATGTTAAATGCAATAAGTAAAGTAATTTAATTTAATTATTAAAAATTTAGTTTAATTTGTTTGATTTCAATTTATCATTTCTAACGTATCCCTATTTTTTTCTTATCTTTGACTCAATAATTGTATGTCTGAATGATACTGAGATATTAATACTTTACTGTACACATGTGTCGTTAGCATAGTGGTTAGAGTGTTAGTCTGTTAGTTCGTAGGTCGTAGGTTCGATTCCCCTCGTCAGCAATTTTGTTTATTTTCATAGGTTTGCGATATTTCTAGATTCCAATCGTTAGGTACTAAAATATGAAAATCTAATGCACACTTACTGTAATTGTTTATTATTTAATTTTTAAATGTTACAAACAATTTTTTTCTACTTCATTTACTATATCCATTGTTAGTCTCCATCTTTAATACAATTTCTTTAAGAAGAGAAATATTTTATGAATAATAACTATTTATTAATATTATTTACCATTTTGTTGTTAAATTATTTATTATTATTAATTTACGACTAATTAATAACAATACGGCATTTATTGTGGCAATATTCTCAGCCAGCACTGATCCAGTGCTGTCTGGCAGTACTGGCAGGCAGTACTTCGTCAGCGTTAGACAGCGTTATCATCCCAGAGTTATGCCAGTGATGTCTGTCATAGTAGCTGCCAGTACTGCCAGTGCTGGCGCAGTACTCGGCCAGTTGTAAATTTCCCATTGGGTATCTACAGTTTTATTAATTAATAATTAAAATTAATAATTTTTTGCACCAATAAAAAGAGCGTGTCCGAATTAGTCAAGAACATAAGTCTGTTTACAAAATTTTAAATTTTATTAAGAGATCCAGATGCAAACACGTTTCCTTCAATATCTCCGATTAAGCTAAAATGTAGATAGTGTCTTTTTTAAAAAGGACGGCAGAATTGACGTGGAATTCACCTATTATTATAATTATTAATATTAAAATTATATCGTGGGACTATAATTACATTATTAATTTATATTTTTTTCATAGGTAGTAACTCTTTCCTTGTACGCCTATTTTTTCTCCGCACTCCTTGGGCGACAATTTACACGCGAAGAGGACGCAAAAAATGGAAAATATGAAGTGCCAGACATGTATTTTCCATTCTTCACAGCCTTGCAGGTAAATCATTAATTAATTAATAATTAAAATTAATTAACTAAAAATAAAAATTAGCTTAAAAAGGTGAAAAGTGAAAAAAAATCGAAAATAAAAATAATCCAAAACTAACTAAAAGTAAAAAAGAAAAATAACTTAACTAACTAAAAATAAAAATAACTTCAAATTAACTAAAATTACTTAGATCTTCAATAGAAATAATTATTTTCGGGTCCAAAAAACAAAATCTTTTTTTGTTGAAAATAATTTTTGTGACAAAGTTAAGAAAATTTATTCTTCACTTTTAATATCGAAATTTCAAAAAATAAAAGAAAAACCAATATTAAATTAAATTTTCAGTTTTGCTTTTACGTTGGATGGCTCAAAGTGGCGGAAGTATTAATCAATCCTTTCGGAGAAGATGACGATGACATAGAACTTAATTGGCTAATCGATCGTCACATCAAGGTAAAAAAAAAGAAGAATTCCTTCATTTAAATTAAATATTTAACTCGAGACTTTCTATTATTTAAATTTACAATTAATTAAACTTACTTATTAAATATATTGCAATTTAAATAAACTTTCTTGTCTCTTCATTAAATTTAATTGAATTTTTTTACATCAATTGAATTTAATTCGTAGAATATTTTTGCTTTAATTGAATTTAATTCATAAGATTTTTTTTAACTTCAATCGGATTTCATAGAATTTTTTTTAACTTCAATCGAATTTAATTCATAGAAATTTTTGTAATTCAATCGAATTTAATTCACAGAATGCTTTTATTACGTTTTTCATCAACAATTTTCTATTCATCTTTCATTAACTTTTTCCCAGTAAAAATTTTCTCTCATTACATTATTATTTATATAAAATTATTTCTATTTTCAAATTCATTTTTTTTAAATCTCTTTTTTAATTTATTTTAATTTCCCCGTTTTTTAATTAATCTCTTTCTTAAAATTACAATATCTTTTTTATTTAAAATTTCTTAGAGATAAAAAAATTAAAATGAAAAACAAAAAAAAATTATTTTTAATTACAAAAAGAAATAAAAATAAAGAAACTTTCAATTTAAGAAAAAAGATAAAAAAATGCATTGTTCTTAATAAAAAAAGTCTTTGAAAAAATCAGGCTGGTTACATGATAGTGGATGAGATGCATGAGGAGCATCCAGAACTTCTAAAGGATCAGTACTGGGACGAGGTGATACCAAAAGATTTACCCTACACTGTTGCCAGTGAGCAGTACAGAAAAGAGGAGCCAAAAGGATCTGCCGAGCATTATAAAGTCAAAGAGAGCGACGCTCTTTATGCGAATGTAATGCTCGGGAACCAACTCCATTCTGTAAATCAACACAGAAAGATGCATCAGGATGACATGTACGCGGATTACGTAAGTTCAACAAAATCACACTTTGAAAAAAAACTCGAATATAACGTCATTTTTACCCGCACTTCTTCATCTTCATCTTATTCTTCTCGCAATAATTCCAAGAAAAAATATATGCACACCAAACATCAAAACAATTTCCATATAACAATCAATTTATAATTATTATAAGTTACAATCCAGTTTTCCTCATTATTGCGATATTTATATTCACAAATGAAAAATTATTTTTTCCTTAAATACTGTATTGTAAAAGAAGAGTTAACAGAATTTTTCACAAGAATTACCTTTTTTTATTTAATTTTCAACTAATAATAATTGTATTCAATCTAATTATTAACTAAAAGTTAAAAAAAACTAATAAATTAATAATTATATTAAATATAATTATTTACTATAATAATAATAATAATAATAATAATAATAATAATAATAATAATAATAATAATAATAATTAGACTCAACTAACAAATTATTAAGTTTCATTTAATTATTTAATGATTAGAGTTATAATCATTATTAGTTAATAATAATTAATTATTAATTAGCAATTTACTAATAATTATTTCATTAACTAAAATTATTAATTAACAAAAATAATCGTAACGAATTGAACTATTAGTTAATAATAATTACTGTTAAATAATATATTCAACATCTATTATTATTAATATTATTGTCAATGAATTAATTACCCTGGTTAAAAAACCGGACAGATTTCGGACTAATCCGAAATTTGTCCGAAACAATGCGGTTTATGGTCAGGTTTTTGTCACCCGAAATTAATCCGGAAAAATCCGAACTCTATACGGTTTGTGAACAACTAGTGAAACCGGAGTTGGTCCGATGAAGTCCGAAATTAATCAGTTAATTTTAACTAGTGAATCCGGAATTAGTCCAAAACAGTCAAAAATTAGTCCAGACAATTTAGTGAATGTTATTAAAAAAAATAATTATACAAGTTACACGTATTAATTATTATTACTTTATGGTACATTCAACATATTTTTCGATTTACCTATCGCAATTTTATTTACATTAACTTAAAATTTCTAACGCTTGGAGATTCGAACCTACACCTATCTAACATTATATCGCACCGAAGTCGAATACATAATAGAATTTATGAAGTGCCACGAAAAGAAATGACAAGAAACTAACACATCAGTATTAATTTTAATATTGAAACAAGATAACTAATAATACTAGTAAATTTGTAAAAACAAATGGACTGCAGAATTAAATATTTTATTTACCATAAGTAAATACCCTGAATAAAAAGTGGTAACGTTTTTTATAACTATTGAATCCATAATTAGTCCGGTTTAGTCTGCAGTTAGTCAGATCATATGCGACTAGTAAATGCAGAAGTAATCCGGTTGGTCAGTGATTCCGCAGCTACGAAACAGTCTGCTTATGGACAGGTTTTTGTCGCTCGGAATTTGTCCGGATAAATTCAAACTCAATGCGGTTTGTGTATAACCAGTGAATCCGGAATTAGTCCGATCTAGTCCAAAGTTAGTCTGATAATACGCAACTTGCAAATGTGAAATTATTAAATCCGGAATTAATCTGGTTTTGGTCAGGTTTTTGTCATACGAAATTATAATTATAGTTTGAATTTATCTGCATTTAATACAAATTGTTTTTAATATACAAATTCAATATTATACCAAAATCATTCCGGATTAAGTCTTTGAATTGGATTGAATATGGATTGTTTTGAATTGCCTGTGGATTGTATATATTTACAAATTCTTATAATAATAAGACTTATTTTCGGACTGTGGTGTTTTGATCAGATATTATTCGGATTGACGCTGACTATTAGCGGATTCTTTGCATACAGATTTTGGATTGTTCCATACTTGTTTGGGATTAAATCTTTTAACTAAATTAAATTCGGCGGATTATTTACATATTAATTTCGGATTATTTCGTATTTATTTTAGATGAGTTTTTTGACGGACATAATTTCGGATTGTTGCGTAATAATTACGGATTTAATTCATAGACATTTAAGATTACTCCAGACTGATTTTTCGGATTCACAATTTCACTCGGATTGATGTTAGATTAACCCGGATTACTCCGAAATTTTTACCAGGGATACCGGATTCTTAGCGTACATATTTCGGATTGTTTCGTATTTGTTTTGGAATAGGATTTTACCACACTAATTCCGAATTGAAGCGGACTAATGTCGGATTCTTTGTGTACAGATTTCGGATTATTTCGTATTTGTTTCGGATTATACCTTTTAGTTGGATTAAATCCGGGTTGTTGCAGACAATTTTCGGATTCTTAGCATACAGATTTCGGATTGTTTCGTACTTCTTTCGGAATAGGATTTTACCACACTTAATTTCAAATTGTTGTGGACTAATACCGGATTTCTTGCTTACAGAGTTCGGATTGCTCCGGAAATTTTGCGGATTAAGTTTTTTTAACTAGATTAAACTCGGATTGTTGCGGACTGATTCCGTATTCTTTACATATTAATATCGGATATTCCGTACTTATTTTATAAGAATTCTTCACCGGTCATAAATTTAGATTGTTGCGTACTAATGACGGACTGAATACGTAGACATTCAGGATTACTCCGGAGTGTTTTCGGATTCCGGTTTTCGTTCGGATTGATATCAGACTAGCGCGGATCATTTTCGGACCTTTTTCGTACAATTTTCGGACTAATCCGTACTAATCTGTCCGTATTTAATCCGGAATTAGTCCAAAATTTTTACCAGGGTACACAAGCCTGCAAAAAAAAAAAATTTCCGTTGTCTGAGATCGAGAAGTCATTTCCCGCAGTATTTAGTGCGCTGAATCCGAATCTGGCAACGAAAACCTCCCATCACGTCAGGATTTTGAGAAAAGTGGGGGTAAATTCCCAAAAATCATGTTTTTCGCTGTTTTTGTAAATCTTTACCGGGTAAATCCGACGTGCTAGAGACTTGTCATAGGAGTCAAATTAAAGCCTAAACCCTGTACTTTAAGAAGATATAGCGATATTGCTAACAACAAACTAAATTAGCCGTCAAAAATGATTTTTTTAACAGTTGTCAAGTATGAAAATTGACTGACACTGTCCGTAAATAAAACTATTTAAAAAATTATTGAATTTGCTTAAAATTTGTTACTCAGGGGTTTTGGGGTCGCTGATTACGAATATGTTGTCAGATACAAGAAAATGTACAAGTACTTGTACAAGAAAAGAAACTAGTACAAGAAAATGTATATGATCTTGTACGGGTTCATGTACAAGTACTTGTATACATGAACACGTTCATGTTCTTGTACAAGTAAATTTATAAATAAATTTTTTTTAGAAAATTGGAATAAGTAAATTTATAAATAATTTTTTTTTTTGAAAATTGGCATTTTAATAACTTATAATCATTAAGACTCTTCACTTTAGGCAAGCTAAAAACTATTGCGCAGCTCTAAAGGCTTATAAAAACTACTGCGCAGCCTTTAATGTTTATAATTTTTACAACTTAAAAATAATGTGTAAAGAAAATGTACAAGTACTTGTACGTGTTCATGTATACAAGTACTTGTACATGAACCCGTACAAGATCATATACATTTCCTTGTACTAGTTTATTTTCTTGTACAAGTACTTGTACATTTTCTTGTACAAGTTCTAATACAAGAATTTGTTTCAAATCCTTATACAAGAAATTGTACATTTTCTTGTACAAGCCCGTGTGGAAAAGTGAGGTGGGCCCACGGTGGGTCCCAGGTGGGCTTCCCAGGTTCTAGGTGGGTCCCAGCAGGGATGGCCCAGGTGGGCGATTCCTTGGCTTGTAACGGTGAATCCAGCCACAGCCCACCTAGGAAAAATCCAGCTGGGGCCCATAGATTTAGTTTTCATTCAAATTAATGAATAAATTGTTTATTAATAACAAATAAGTCGAATTATAAATAAATAACGTTATTATTTAACGATTTTTACTTTTTTTAATGAAATTGTGACCAAAAGCAAATTCATAAATAATGTTAGCATATATATGGGAATTAATATATATCCTTTCATTCATAAATTAAAAATTTATAAAAAAATTAGAAATTTGTTAATTAAATTATTAAACGGTATATATAATCACTAAATTGCATACTTATACGAATACAATGCAGAAAAATCGGAATAAACGCAAACCTAAGAAACAAATAAAATTTAACGCACGCGGGGATTGAACCTACGACCTACGGACTACTAGACTAACGCCCTAACCACTATACTACGGAGACTAACTACTGAACACCGACGTTTTATTGTCAGTGACTTGTTAATCTGCTGTAATGATTCAATAAAGCACTTACTGACACGAATACACCGTAACAAATAAATAATTTAATAATAATTATAACAATATTATTAATGTAATAAGAACGATAAATATTCTTAAAATAATATTTATATTATTATGAAAAAAATATATCAATACATTTTTATTAAAAATGTGTTTTTTATTGTTTACAATCATTATAAACATTAATTTGTTGGTCTAAAAAAAAAAATTTTTTTTAGTTTGGACTTAGAAATTTTTACTAATTAATTATGTGGACATTACATAAAAAAAATATTGTGAATACATTTTTGTTAAAAACACGTTTTTTCTTAATCTAAGTCATTATAAACATTAATTTTTTGTTGAAAAAAAAATTTTTAGGTTTGGACTTAGAAATTTTTACTTATATAATTATTGATGTGGGTCCTCAAAAACTGGGAAGCCCAGGTAGGGCCCAGCTCACGCCCACTTATAATATTATTTCGCCTGACCGTAACCCACCGTGAGTGGGTCAATAGACAAACTCTAAAATGCTTCCGTAAAATGTTAACATGTTTGTCAATTGTCAATTCATGTACGAAGATGACCATAATTACATCAAAGTTTTATTATTAAATGTTAAAGAAAAACTAAACTATTTAATAATTTTCACTGTAAACGATTTTTGTTATTATATATAATAAATTTTACTAATGTTATATTGCA